AAGCGGTGCCTCGGGGCGCCCCCGGGATCCGAACCCGGGCCGCCAGCATCAGAGCGCGCGCACTTAACCGCTAAGCCACGGAGCCGGCCCAGGATTGCTTTCTAAGTCAGGCTTTCGGGGAGGCAGAGAATCCAGAGAGGCAGTGCCACCAACGGTGCGTGCATCTGGAGTCAGGATGCATCTGGAGTCAGGATGCACCTGGGATGGAGTTCTGTCCCTTGCCTGAGGTGTGATCTTGGGGATGTTACTTAACCTCTCCATGCAAGCATTTCCACCTTTGTGACCTGGGAAAATATGGATTCTGTGGGGTTGATATACTAAATGAGATGTTTCTAAAGGGCCCCACATTCCCCTTATTCTACTCTACAGATAACTGTATTTGTGAATGCCCACCGAGGTTGAGGCTCTGTGATGGGTGAGCAAGATAAAGTCCCTGGCCTCTGTCAGCTCCTGTGCCAGTGGGTGAGACAGACAAACAACCACCTCTGACAGCTGAGTGAGGTTGTGGCTGGGATAGGAGAAGTACAGGGTGTTGTGGGAACTCAGAGGAAGTCCCCTGTCCAGGGCATGAGGAAACGGGCAGAGAAGGCTTCTTGGAGGACGTGCTGTCTAAGCTGAGTCCTGAGGGGTGAATAAGAGGTGACAGTCTCCCTAACAGCCATTCCATTCCCAAACCCTTCACCTAGGACCACCACAGCCGTCGCCTCCCACGCGTTCCTGACTGACTGAGGAGTGGGGATGTGACCCGGTGCTGGCCAATGAGAAAAGAAGGGAATGTTTGCCAGGGGGCTTCTGGGATACTTCCTTGTTCAGAGGAAAGATACGGGATTAGAAAGTCCTTTTCTGTTCTTGGATATCACCATATCTAGATGTCAATCCTGGAACAACCAGGGTCCTGTTGCAGAAAAGGACAGATCAGAGAGCTGGAAAGAACCTGGGTCCTTGACGGCATCACTGGATCCCAGAGTGTCCCCTGCCTGAGCCGACCCTTCCTCCTGGTTTCATTTTGTGTGATTGTGAATTGCCTTTCTGATTAGGCCTGTTGGAGGAGGGGTTTTCTCTTTACTCACAGCCCAAAGCAGACTTCCCGATACAGTGAGCATCGTGGGTTTTTTGGTTCGTTCGTTTGTTTGTTTTTGAGGGAGTTTTGATACCGTGTGGTGGGAAAGGGCACAGGCTCTGATACTAGACAGGCTTCCTTCCAACCCGGTTCTGCCACTTGCAGTCGTGTCGTCTTGAGAGATTTACTTGGCCCTCTGTGCCTTACTATCCTCACCTGTGAAATGGGTTTAGTATTCTTAATCATAACAATACCAACTGAGAGGGTTGTATTTGTGAGTATGTAATGAGGTAATGGCCATGAGGCTCGTAGAAATGTGCCTGGCACATTCCCTATGGTTACAACTACTGATGCTGCCATCAGGTAGGTTGCAGGCCAGGCTTTACGCTGCATGAGCTACAATGAAGAACATAAAGATCACCTTAGACGTCTCTGTCCAGCCCTAGAGGTTCGTTCTTTCTCTGCCACAGTCTTCTAGCTTTTCTCTCACGCATGGACGACCCCCTCAGCACAAGTCTGGCTTGTGGGCCTCCCACCAGGGAACCACAAATACACATCATCTTATATTGTGTGCATCCATTCAGTTCACTCCAGTTCTGTCCTCAGATAGGTAGGGGCTGCTTCTGGTGCAGGGGACGCCCCAGGGCAGGTAACAAAGCCTGTGATGTTTTGTTGCTCCTGCATGGCATTGGAAGCTCTCTGTGTCCTGGTCCCTGCTTTTCTCTCCAAGCTCTTCTCCCTCCACCCCAGAATTCAGTTTACACTCACACTGGATTCCAGCGCACACTCTGCCTCTTCAGCCACTCTCTCTCCTTCAGCCTCAAATTCCTCATTGTAAAATGGCACTCTACCTACTCGAGAGGTTTGTTGGGAGACCTACAGGAGCTATTGGACCTAAGACACCCAGCTCACGTTACCTGGCACGTGGAAGGCACTAAATAAATGGCAACATTCTCTATCACGCTGCTTTAGTCCACAGCACCTGGCCCGCAAGTGGTAGGCTTTCCTTCTCTTTTGTTAGGCTGAATAATATCCCATTGTATACATATACCACATTTTCTTTCTCCACTCCTCTGTCCATGGACAATTGGGCTGTTTCCATTATCTTGGCTATTGTGAATAATGCGGCAGTAAAAATGGGAGTGCAGATATCGCTTTGAGATCCCTGATTTCAGTTCTTTTGAATATATACTTAGAAGTGGGATTGCTGGATTATATGGTGGTTCTCATTTTAATTTTTTGAAGAACTTCCATACTGTTTTCCATAGTGGCTGCACCATTTCATATTCCCAACAGTGTACAAGGCTTCCAATTTCTCCGCGTCCTCACCAACACTTGTTATCTTTTGTTTTTTTGATAATAGCCATCCTAACATGTGCGATGAGGTATCTCATTGTGGTTTTGATTTGCATTTCCCTCATGATTAGTGATGCCGAGCACCTTTTCATATACCTATTGGCCATTTGTATGTCTTCCTTGGAGAAATGTCTATTCAAATCCTTTGCCAATTTTTAACTGGCTCATTGGTTTTCTTGTTATTGACTTATAGAAGTTCACTATAAATTTTGAATGTTAACTCATCAGATATATGCTTTGCAAATATTTTCGCCCATTCTGTAGGTTGCCTTTTCACTCTGTTGAATGTTTCCTTGCTGTGCAGAAGCTTTTTAGTTTGATATAGTCCCACTTGTCTATTGTTGCTTTTGTTGCCTGGGCTTTGGGTGTCATTTCCATGAAATCATTGCCAAGACCAATGTCATGCAGCTTTTCCTCTATGTTTTCTTCTCGGAGTTTTACAGTTTCAGGTCTTATGTTTATTTAATCTTTAATCCATTTTGAGTTGACTTGTGTGTGTGGTGCAAGATGGGCATCCAATTTCATCCTTTTGCATGTGGATATCCAGTTTCCCCAGCACCGTTTGTTGAAGAGACTGTCCTTTTCCCATTATGTATTCTTGGGGCCCTTGTCAAAGGTCAGTTGGCTGTATATGCGTGGGTTTGTTTCTGGGTTCTATTCTGTGTCATTGGTCTATATGTTTGTCTTTATGCCAGTACCATACTGTTTTACTTACTGTAGCTTTGTAGTAAATTTTGAAATGAGGAAGTTTGATGCCTCCAGCTTGGTTCTTCTTTCTCAGAGTTGCCTTGGCCATTCTGGGTCTTTCGTTATTCCGTATGAATTTTAGGATTGTTTTTCTATTTCTGTAAAAAATACCAGTGGGACTTTGGTGGGAATAGCATTGAATCTGTCTATCATTTTTCTTCTTAATCTGTTATATTAATCTGTGGATTACATTGATTGATTAATCAATTGTCTTCTTAATCTGGGGGTTGCATTGGTTGATTTTCAATAATTGAACCACCCTTGCATTCCTGAGTTAACCCACTCTATCAAGGTATATTATTCTTTTCATATATTGCTGGATGCGAGGCTAGTACTTTGTTGAGGAGTTTTGTGCTTATGATAAGAAAGAATATTGGTCTGGAGTTTTCTTTTTGTGATACCAGTGAAATGCTAGCCTCATAAAATCAGTTGCAAGTGTTCCCTCCACCTCTGTTTTCTGGAGGAGATTGTGTAGAATTTGTGGGTTTTCTTTTTTCTTTTTTCTCTCAATATTTGGTAGAATTCACCAGTGATACCACCTGGGGTTTTTTTCCAAAGGCTTTTAACTACCAATTCAAATTCTGTAAAAAAGATATTGGACTTTGTACACTAGTTCACCTTGGGCCCATCTTGGTACTTTATGGTTTTTGAGTAATGGATCCATTTCTCCTAGGTAGTTGCATTTATATATGTAGAGTTGAATATGGTATTACTGTATTTTTGTCCTTTTCATATTTGCTGGGTCTGCAGTGAAATCTCCTCTTTCATACCCGCTATTGGTAATTTTCTTCTTCTCCCTCTTTTTCTTCTTTGTCAGTCCTGCTAGAGGTTTATCAATATTATTGATCATTTCAAAGAACCAGCTTTTGGTTTAATTGAGTTTCTCTGTATTTTTTTTTCTGTTAGAAATCTCGTTGGTTTCTGTTCTTATTTTTGAGTAAAATAAATTCTTATTCATACTTACTGGGAATTTTGAGACGTTTTCCATAGGCTCGAGCAGCCTTTTTAACTAGATGACAAGTCAGCGAGGATGAAGGAAAATTTAAAAGAGCGTGTCACCGTGGTGCAAATGCTTACAATTTAGTAAATGTCTACTTTTTGAAAGTATAGGAGTGCTTATGAGAAGAGGACATGTTAGTCACACGTTGATTGTTCTTTAAATCATGCTTGAGAATAGTTTGTATAAAGTCATCGGGGAATTAACATGGTTGACTGCGGTGCATCATTTTGTGTTAGGTGTCGTATGGATGCAACAATTGATCTCATTTCTAAAAGCCTTGCAATAATAATATATATTACATAATATATAGTAAACCCCTATAATCATATGTCATAAGTATTCTGAGCTCTTGAGATGTAATTATATCTTATTTAACCTGCAGGACAATCCTAGGAAGTAGGTCTCATTATTACCCCCATTTTACGGATAGGAAATGGAAGGACAGAAAGGTTAGGTAAGATGAATAATAATGGATTTTCTTTCTTCTCTTGTCACTATTTGTTGCAGTCTGGGTTCTTCTGGCTCCACACGTTCCCTGCTACCTTCTAGTTCTTTGAGAACCTTCATCTTCACCTTCCTGTCCAGACCCAAGGGCCGGCTGGAGCTTCGAGCACGGACTAGACCTACTCCATGGATCCACTCCAGAAACGTAACCCAGCGCTGATTTCTGAATCTTTCCTGACGACCTCTGAAGAGACTTCCCGGGAAGTCACAGCAGCCTCTCATCCTTCCTTCTCAGGACTGCTAATGATGGGCATCAGTGACCCGAACCCCCATTCTGGCACCAGCTACTCGGCCCCTCTACCAGAGGGGCTGTTCCAGGAGCAGTACAGAGATGAGAAAACCCTGCAAGAGAGTCAGTGGGAAAGGTCAGCATCCCCTCAGAGGAAGAAAACATTCCTGGGGCACATGAGACAGAGACACCTCGATCGCATGGCACCTTATTGGGTTGAAAGGGAAGCCAGAATCTCTTCCTCAGGGGATAGGGTTCAGAATAGATTCCGATGTGAATGTCGATACTGCCAGAGCCGTAGGCCGAATGTTTCTGGGATGCCTGTGGAGAGGAATGGGGCCCCACATCCTTCCTCCTGGGAAACGCTAGTACAGGGCCTCAGTGGCTTGACCCTCAGCCTAGGTACCAACCGGCCCGGCCTTCTGCCAGAAGGGGTGCTCCAGCAGCAGGAGAGGGAGGAGGAGCTCCAACTGGAGATGCGGCAGGAAAGTAAAAGAATGTTTCAGAGGCTCCTGAAACAGTGGTTAAAAGAAAACTGAGACTCTCATCCTCACATGACAGAGATCTGAACGGATTCAGACACGGATGTTGGTGTTGCCAGATCCTGGGCGTGGATTCCTTTTGGGGACCAAAGAGTAAGCTGTAGTCGGAGGAGTAACAAGACCAGAGTTGTGACTGGAAATCCCATCAGCATGAGCCTTGATCCGATCCCAGAAAGGTCCTAAACTTTCCTGCCTGGAATTTCTGGATCACTCTGGGGCATTCTGTGGCAAGGCAGACTGCATACCAGTGGTCCTTAACTCCTGTAATATGGCTCCCATGATGCATGTTGTCACTTGCACACCCTGGATCTCTGTCTTTCCTCCCTACTTTGTGTCAATAAGATATAGAGTGTCTCTGTAGTGAGAATGCCTTGTTGCTGTCCGTGTGCTTGTGTGCCATTTTACTGACTGCCTCCAAAAAACAGCACTAGGTGTGGTGGAATGCACAGGTGCTAAACTTAGATCCAGTTTCAAAGATCTGAGGCTAAACAAAGTGTGGAAAAGGGGTGTGGAACTAGAACTTGGGGGTTCACCATTGTATCATATGGTTTGTATAAGCTATTACGAGTATGACGAGCTTAAATGTAGCTGTTTCCCTGCTCCTTAACAATGAGTAGTCTTTCCCCTTGAAGGAGTTTCTGACGGAAATTCTGAAGGAATTTCTCATCGTCGATACCAAATAAACATACGCATAAAAGGAAACTAACTTTAGAATTCAGGTTTGTTCATCCATATTGTTTTGTTCTTTGTTAGATCTGAGATCACTACATTTAAATCCCAGAGCAGTAGATCCTAGTGTATCAAGAGGAGCTCTAAACTGTGCGCATTTGGAACAGGGGAGGAGGGAGGGCACCAGAGAACACCTGGTGTTCAAGTCACTCTTTGTGGCCCTGCAGCGAAACCAGCCTTCAGATCACCCAGACAGAGCAAATGGAAGAGAGTCCTCCTGCCCACGGAGAGTTGGAAGCAGAGTCTGCTGCTCACAGTAGGAGGTCCTGCGGGGTGGTGCTGGTGCCCCTGGCATGCAGACTCCCAGGCCCATTCTTCGTTGCCTGGTATCCCTGGGTTGGTGAAGACAAACAGTAGTTTCATGCCTGCTGCATGAGAACCAGAGCGTCACTGAGTTATTTGAGAGTCGTATTGGGATTTAGACATGTGCCTTTTCATTTCAAGAGGCACGAGTGATTAAATCTACCTTTTCCCCTCACAGAATCCAATGATGTGTACCCAGGAAGTGACCATGCAATTCTTCTGAACTGAAAGTAAACTCTGCTCTCCGTTAGTCTGTGTCTTCATGTAGTCCCCGGAGCTGTATTGTTGCAAAAATCTGTGAGTCTTCTGCAGACAGAAGTGGCTTGAGAACAGGTACCTTTATTAGATTCTGAACTTGTGATCTCATCAGAGAGCTTGGGAGCTCAACCGACCCTGCCAGGCTTGTCTCCCAGCTCGAGGGGAGAAGGTAAGTAAAGCAGGGCTTTTCTTTCTTGAAACTCAAAGCCCTGAATTCAGACTGGTCATTTGCGGTGTGTTTAGAAGGGGTAACATGGCATTTCATGTTTATTGGTTGTTTACTAGGTGTCAGACAATATTCTACATATTTCCATAGGTCAGCTTATTTAATCCTCTCCCACAGACCCATCATTTAGCAAGATTCAATCCCAATTTATGAAGTGGGAAAGCAGAGTACAGAGCAGTTAGGGGACTTGCTCAGGGTCACACAGGCAATAAGAGGGGGGTGGCACGCAAACCTAGGCCGACTGGATTCAGAGCCCACGCTCTGAACCATTCACCGCACCGTAACCTCCTTCAAGGCTGGGGGTGGAGTGCGAAGAGCTGGTGACTTCAGTGGACGATTCACTGCTGGCAGCACCAAGTCTTGGTAAGATACATCATTGGGTCCTCCCCACGGTGCACTGGGGCAGGGATAATATCCCCACCTGGCAGAGTTCACAGAGGTTGTAAAGTGATGGCCTCACTCCAGCAGCCACATCAGGTCAATCCTGCCACCCACAGTCTAGCCACTCATGAAGGTTGGCATTGTCTCTCTCTACCTCCCCGACTCCATGCGAGGCTGGCTGTTGGGGCGGGGAAGTGAGGAGGAATTGCAGAGCCCATCCCTGCCCTCGGGAGTTGAGCCTTTAATCAGAGGGAGATCTGACACCCATAGATATGGTAGACAGCCCGTCATTGATCCCCTGTGCGGCTCGGTTGCCAGGAGATGAGAGGAGTGAGAAGGATCACGGTGGGATGAAGTGGACACTGGGGGCTTGCTGAGGGAGGTCCTAACTGCAGAGTTGCCCAGTGGACTCCAGGAGGGCGCATGGATATGGGTGGGCGGGTGTAACTGAGGGAGTCAGCGGCACCACCCCTTACCCATCTCCAAGTCTTTGTCCCCACTCTCGTGTATGGGGTGTAGGAGGAGATCTGGGTGTCACACCTGAGACAGCATACTGTCCCAAGTTACAGACCAGGAGCTGGAATCCAGTGATGTCCAGAAATGTCCAGCAGGTCAAATTCTAGACCAGAGACCGAGCCACAGGCACAAGGAGGCAAGAAAATATTGGGAGAAAGTGGGCTTAAAATGTAATGTCCAGATAGAAAATCAGAATGTACCTATTGCAAGTAAAGAAATGAAGTTGTTAAATTAAAAACCTTCCCACAAAGGAAAGCCCTGGGCCAGCTGGCTTTGTTGGTGAATTCTATCAAACGTCCAAAGAAGAAATAACACCCATCCTTCACAGACTCTTCCAGAATGGAGAGGAGGAGGGAACATGTCCTAACTCATCCTATGAGAACAATATTACCCTGCTACCAAAGCCAGACATGACGTCACAAGAAAACTAGAGACCAATATCCATCATGAATATCGATACATAAATCCTCAACAAAATATTAGCAAACCCAATCCAGCAGCATTTACAAAGGAGTATGCAACACAACCGAGATTTATCCCACGATTGCAATACTGGTTTAACATTCAACTTCAATTAAGGTAATACACCACATTAATATAATAAAGGAGAGAAACCATCCGATCGTCTTGACAGACAAAGAGAAAGCATTTGACAAAATTCAAGACCCATTCATGATTAAAAAAAACGCTCAACCAACTAGAGGTAGAAGGGACAGTCCTCAATCTGATGAAGGACACCTGCGAGAAACACTGCTCCCATCACATCGTATTTATTAGTGAAAGAATGGATGCTTTCTCCTTGAGATCCAGACCAAGGCAAGGATGTCTGCTTCCCCTACTGCAATCTAACATTGAAGGTTCTAGCCAGTGCCGTCATGCAAGACAAAGAAATGAAAACATGGGAGAAATTAGAAATGAATCCTATGTCCACGCAAAGACTTGTACTCAGATGTTCCCAGCAGCACTGTTCGTAATCGCCCAAAAGCGGAAACAATCTACTGAATGGATAAACAAAAGGCGGTATTCCCCTACGGTAGAATACCACTGATCCGTAAAAAAAGGGCGAAGTTCTGATTTCTGCTACAACTGGAATGAGCCTCCAAAGCATTATGCTGTGCGAAAGAACCCAGACACAAAATGCCACTTATTGCATGAGTCGATTTATATGAAATGCAAAGAAAGGGCAAATCTACAGAGACAGAAATTAGATTAGAGGTGCCAGGGCCTGGAGGTGATAATGGGGATTGACTGCTAATGGGCACACGGGATCTTTTTGGGGTGATGGAAATGTTCTAAAACTGGATTGTGGTGATGGTTGCGTACGTCTGTAAATTTACTAAAAGTCGCTGCATTGGACCCTTGAACTGGGTGCATTTTGTGGTATGTAAATTATACTTCAGCAGAGCTGTTTAGAAAATGTAATGCAAATGTCCACGGAAGTCATGCAGGAAAAGGTCCGCCGTTGCTTATATAGCACTAAGGAACCCCCCCCTCTCGTTCCATGTTCTGGGTCCTGCCTACACGACCCATCATCGCCTGCCTCCTCCATGTGTACTAGATGCTCCCGCCAGACAGAGTCACTGTGCACATCAGGGTAGCAGGTGTGCTGGTGAGTGCACACATGTGCGCGTGTTTCTCTGTGTGTTCACGCGCAGGCGCCCTTTGGGTGAACACGATGGTTGACTCGCAATTCCATGGCTGGCGGCAGGCTCCCATAATCCACCCTGGGTCTGAAATTACACTTGGGTGTTTTTCTATTCTTCATGAATCCCCTGGACCTGGCTCAGTTTCCCTGGTAACCAACCTCAGCCCTTAGCTTCAACCTCTGGTCACAGCAAGACATGTAGAGTGGTGAGGGGGCTTGTCCCCCCATAGGGCCCCCTGCCCGAGCTCAGCGACCCAGTGGGGATGCGCAGCAGAGCAGTAACCAAGACAACGGAACTCTAGCCGCCTTTCCACCCCAAGGCCGTTCTCCCTTCCCTCCACCTGCCTGGGGGTCAGGTAAGGAAGGGGACATTGGGGCATAAACACACTCCCGAGTCCTTGAAATTGTTCTAAACATGGCTGTAAAAGTAAATATGTCAAAAATACGTCTCGAAAGAGAAGATACATATTAACTTTTTAAAAAAATTCAGAAATGACAAACATGGCTCTAAAGTCCAAAATTCTATTTAAAACCACGACAGGTGAAGCACGGTGTGTGCTTATGCTTCTCAACCTCGGAGGCGCATCAGATCTCCCCTGGAGTGGTTTTAAAAGAACAGATGGTGGCGCACCATCCCCAGAGAGTCTGAATTAGTAGGTCTGGAATGTGGCCCTGGCATGAGCATTACTGAGCAAAACTTCTCCTACGAAAGCCTAGATTGCAGCTGTGGAAACAAAACCTTCCTTATAGGAGGAAACCTAAAATCGGAGATTTGAGACTTCTCTTTACAAGGAAAGCAGGTTTTCATCATTACCTGCTGTGCTTGGCAGATGTCTTAGGAAAGGAAAAAACATGACAAAGCAAATGCGTGTTTTTAGACTGACGCTGTACTTGCTGTTGTCCATGTTCCTGAAATCAAAATTTTGAGGTTAAAACCCTGCATTTGCTAATGAAACATTTAAGCTTTTATTTCTTGTCAAGCCATTGTGCTTAGTTACTTTAAAATTTGTAAAACATTGTATAGATAACTCCATGAGACACGAGTCACAATAGTTCTTTGAAAATTACAGATGACTAGGTTTGTATCAGTTGATGTAGAAGGATCCGCTGTCAGCTCATCGGCTAAGTTTGTTGAGTTGCATTTTTTAACTTTTTATTATAATTTGTGTCATCAAATTAATTCACGCTCAGATAAAAGACCATATAGGACCAGGATATTTATGATGAAAGATAAAATTGAGCAATCCCTTGTTTCATGCATACCCATGGACACCCGCCTCCCCAAACTTTCTCTCTTAGCGATTTCTTCTGGACATTCATCTCCATATTCCCAAATAATGGGCTTATGCTGCTATGTCTGGATTCATCGAGTTTAGACATTATTTGTTGAGTTCTTACAGAAGATAAGGATTTCCATCTCTCAGGTATATTTACAGGGCCCAGGTTCTCCTCGAAGTTCCTGCGAGGGGCCCACCCAAACCAGCGCACAGGTCTCTGCTCAGGCTGCGTTCAGGGTGTGTCTGCCAAGAACGAGCCCTCACAGGGGACTTGGTGCACATCTTGTGGCAACGTGAAGATCGTGGTTTAGCCTTTTCCAGAGCAGGTCCAGGGGAGTCACAGGGTGGTGGAAAGCACACCTAGCAGCATCCCCAGGAGTTTGGTTTAAGGAATCGGGTGGATGGCAGTGCCCATCCATGAGACATGGGTCAAAGGTTTGGGGGTTACCTGCATATTTGCAGGGCTTGTGGGACATCTGAGTAGAGATGCCCCATAGGTCTCAGCCTATGGGGGCTCTGGAGCCCAGCTGAGATTTCTTAGGCAGACTTGGTGATGGGAAAAGCCATCACCATACGAGGGGATACAGACGAAAACAAGTCAGATGGGGGAAAAGCTCTGGGTGGTGATGTGGTCACCCACGGATCTTGTATAGAATGAGAAGAGCACAGGGCAGAGCTTGGAAACAGGGAAAAACAATACTTAGCAGGGGATCAAAGAAAAAGGACCAACGAGGAGACTTGGAAGTAATGGTCTGAGAGGTAGGAGGAAAGCCAGGATGGGCTGCTGTCACAGACGCTGAGAAAGGAGAGCATTTTGAAAAAAAGGAATGCTGACTGGGGCCAAGACAGCATCGGATACTTTGGTTTGGCAACACGGAGCCCTTTGGAGAATTTAGCAAGGGGATGTTCCATGGATGGGGGCGTACTGAGGAGGAATCGAAAGGTAACCAAATAAGTATGCTATTGGAGCCTCCACTTTCAAGAAGCTTGGGTTGAAAAGAATCAAAGACACAGGGTAATAGAAACAGACGGCCATGTGCTTTTCAGGGTACGTTATTTTCTGTCCCCAACAACGAGAGAGAAAAACATCAGGATGCAGGTTCCAGAAATTCCTAACCGTCATGAGAACTGTTGAATAGATGACAAGAGTCATCAAGAGTTGCGATGAGCCTCGCAGGTGATTCTTCAAGTTGAGGAGGGAGGAATGGGGGTTTCAGAGCAGCAGTGGAGTTGCAGGAAGACTTCCATCCCCTCTTCCTGCCCTCATTCTTACCTCCCTGACCAACGGAGGTGTGGGCTGAGAGATACAACATCTTCCAGGTAAAAGGCCTCAATGGGTGGTGTCAGGGAGAGTCCAAGATTGAGTTAACTCAGAATAGAGTGAAATCAAGGGGGGAGGGATTGGGAAGCTCTGGCAAAGGTGGCATCGGAGGGAACAGAGTCCTGCTGGGGGAGGACAGAGCAGTCCTGTGATGAGGGCAGTGGATGTAAGGGGCTTGTGTTTGGGGTGATGGCAGGGGCTGGAGACAAGGGCATTTGAGTGGCTTCGAGATTCACACTGAGTGTCTGCTGCAAAGATGTTACTTGGTTCAGGACGATAGACGCACAGAAAGCTACGAGAAGCTAGGAGAGGTTTGGCCTCGATGTTTCATATCTGTGGCGAGGAGGCTGTGCTTTGGGGTCTTTCAGATGAGGAACAGAGGGTCTGGTCCATAGAGCGAAAGAACAGAACTCCCTTGTGATTCTGGCCCCTGCAAAGGTGAGATATCAGAGTCTAGTCCTCAGATCACAACGAAGGGGAAGTGCAGGGAGAGGCCTGAGTCTGGAGTCTTCAAAGATCTTACACAAGGGCCACCGGTATCGGGCCACCATCAAATAACTGAGGTGTATGCTTTC